ATCATGAGATAGAATACTGAGTTCTGCTTTTAGTGTGGGAACTTAACTCACGGAGTAAACAGTAACTTATGCTCTTAAATTTAAATAAGAAGCCCCCCATTGCCAACGAATTAGACATTATAGGGGTGGAATTGCTTTTCTGGCATAGTTAGTAATTCTGTTATTAACTTATGCTCTTAAATTTAAATAAGAAGCCCCCCACCGCCAACGAATTAGACATTATAGGGGTGGAATTGCTTTTCTGGCATAGTTAGTAATTCTGTTATTTCTCTTTCGCCACACTTCACAATGAGCATTTTCTAAATCCTCTTCATTAAAAAAAAAAAAAAAAATTTCATACTGACTACATATCCCCCAAAGTATCTTGTTTTAAGAGAAGCAAAATTACATGATCTGAAAGAAAGAAATCATTTTATTTCAGTTTATACACTATCACAAGGAGAACTCCAGATAAAACTTAGCCTTATGGACTTTCTCCCCGGAAACCATCCTGATCCTGGGCAGCCTCAGGACATAGGTCCAAACTCATGGAAAAGCCTGGAAGTCTCTTCGTCTTGTGTATTTCTTCCAAGGAGAAATTGCCTTGCTCAGAGAAATTTCTAGTTCAGTAAACCCTAATGGTTCTGAAGAGATAGTCGCATTTATGTCTCCTGTCTTTAGTAATTTAGGCTCTTAAATTAACTCTGGCAACAGCTATAGTTTCTGGGTAGGTAACTGTGCATATCTATCAGACTGTATACAAAGCTGTTAGCTGTACTACAGGCAGCTCTGGCTCATTACTAAAACACTCTCCATACAACCTTGCTTTACTTCTCCAGTAAACCTACTCCTTTATTTCCTTCTCCATTATCCCAAGGAAAGCATTTCTTGACTATGTTACAGCCAGTATACTATTGGAAAATTGAATTAATCAGTCAAGGCAAAATATGGTGGCCAGCTTAAAACAGCAAGCAGCACTTCAGAACCTTCCAAGGGATTGATACCAGTTTGGACTTGATTTTCTGTTTCTAACTCATTTGCCCAGCTCTGTAGGGCTGTCAAAGGAATAGTGTTCTTCTTTTTAAATAGTGTCTTTCTTCCAAAAACTGTATTCCCGACAGATACACTTTCTACAGAGGAGTAGCCTCACCCACTACTAAAAGGTCACCATTCCTTTAGGGCGAGCTGGAACTGTCCAAAGGGCACATTGGCAGCAGTAGGCAGGAGCATTAATGCAGACCAGGCAGAGCAACGGGGAAGGATGGCTGTGAGACTCTGGTGGGGGAAGGGAGGAGTTGGAGTGTCAGCCTCTCGGCTTGGCAGGGACACTTGTGTATGACATCAGGTCATCTTAGTTTCCTTCTACCTTATCTTTCTCATTTGAAGCTCTTGGGACCATGGCTCTCTTACTTTAGAAACAGATAAGTTAGGATTGTTTTGTGCTTTTTGAAAAATATTTTGGCTGTACCTATTGTTCCAGAAAATTCCAGAACATCCTCCGTTGAATCACTTCTATGTAATGAGATTGCACTAGCAATTACCTTGCAGGTGAGTGCCTGCTAACTGATAAGTATGACTTAAGGACCTACTCTGTGCCCCATTTTTTGAAATAG